CAGCAGGGAGTCTGCTTCTCCCTCTGACCCTCTTCTCTCTTGTGCTCTCTCTCTCTCATTCTCTCTCAAATAAATAAAAATCTTTAATAAAAAAATAAAAATAAAAAATAAAATCACCAAGTGTGACTCCTCAGGTAAATGGATTCCATGAGATTTTCTTCCTCAGCTGGTATGTCAAATAAAGCTTGTATGAGAGCATAAGGATGAAAACACACACATACACACACACACACGGACAGGAAAGGCTTCTGGATATATGGGACATATATCCAGTCAAGTCAATCGGTGAAAACCAATTATAAAAGAACAGCATCAGCCATATATAGGAATACCTCTTTCATCATGCATAGAATATAGTACTTACTTTCCTCTGACATGGTAAGGTTTGAAGCAAGGCTTGAAGTTTCAGGTTTCTGATCACTGACTTCAGGGCTGCTCACTTGACTGAGAGAACCAAAATGAATACATTAGCCCCTCATGGACTTGCTGTGCTGCTAAAAGTGATTACGTCAAACCCATTTCTCTCCCTAGGCTATACAAGTAAGAGGCAAAGTAAGTCTTCTCCATGGTATGATTATTCTAAAACAAACAAACAAAAAAACCCAACCAAACTGTGCTGTTACTTTGTTTCCAAAGTTCCACAGGAAAGTGGGGAGAGTCCTGATTTCAGAGAGTGGTTCTCTCAACTACTTGAGAAGTTTTTTTCAAATTACACATGCTTGCTTCGAAGAAGGGGGTTCTGAACCTTAAAATTGTTCATTCTACTGTATTTCTCTTTTCCTCCAATTAAAAAAAATTTTTTTATCATATCCCCTGAGCAATATCTTTTTTTAAGTTATAAGGAGAACTCAGAAATTACAAAAGGTAAATCACATAAACTGGGAGAACAAATCATTATGTTAGACACTTTAATGATGGCAAAATTCTCACTGGAATTCTGGAATGGAGATTTTACTAACTTTCATCCCTCACAATGTCCTCCTTCTTCCTTCTACCTTACTTTCTACTCTCCAGTTATTCTCTCAATTACCAGGATAGCATAGTGGTTAAGGGTACAGATTCTTGAGCTAGACTGCTTGCATTCCTATTCCACTCTGCCAAAACTAGTTTAATGACTTGGGCTGAACTTCTCTGTACCCCAGTTTCAACTGTCAAAGAGGGACAATAACAGAGCCTAACACATAGGGTTGTTATACGGATTAATGAGTTAATATATGAAAAGTACTTAGAGACTAGAACAGAGTAAATGCAATATACCCATAGCCGTTATTATTATATTACAACTTCACCCCAGCCCAGGCATCCTTCCCACATTCATTTTCCTTAGAAAGAAATCTGCTTTGCTATTCTATACTCTAGGGAGAAGTGAACACTGTACCAGAGGCTCCATATATCTCCAAAGATAAGACTAATAAAAGGTAAGAGTAGTTTCTACACAGTAAAATTTTTAAAAGAAATGTTATTTATATAAAAAATACACAGCATCAAAATTCTTAAAGCTCTCATCTCTTTTCTGAATGGACCTCTAATATTCAAGTATAATATCAAGATTTTCCCCCCTGATATATTCTGAATTTTCAAACAATTTTTCCTCAAATGTAATTAACTTTTTTTTTTTTAAGTTTATTTATTTATTTTAGTAATCTCTACACCCAGCAGGGGCTTGAACTAGCACTGAGATCAAGAGTTGCATGCTCTTCTGACTGAGCCAGCCAGGTGGCCCTGTAATTAACTTTTATTTATTTATTTTTCTTAAGTAGGATCCATGCCCAATGTGGGGCTTGAACTCATGAACCTGAGATCAAGAGTCGCATGCTCTACCAACTGAGCCAGCCAGGCACATCTGTAATTATTATTATTATTTTTTTAGATTTTATTTATTTATTTATTTGAGAGAGAGAGAGAGACACACAGCATGAGAGGGGAGAGGGTCAGAGGGCGAAGCAGGCTCCCTGCTGAGCCGGGAGCCCAATTTGGGATCCGATCCCAGGACTTTGGGATCATGACCCAAGCCGAAGGCAGTTGCTTAACCAACTGAGCCACCCAGACGTCCCTCTGTAATTAATTTTTAAAGCTTAGTCCCCAGATGATGTTTATCTATTTACTCAAATGCCTGTATTTTTGGAATAGCATTTAATGTACTCACCAAGATGTGACTATGGGAACTGAAGAGTAAGGGGAAGAAATCATACTGAGTAGTTATATCAATGTTTCCCAAACTGGCCTATTATTATAATTACCTGGATAATTGGTGAAAATACAGACTTCTGGTGATGCCTACTTAAATACGATTCACAGGAGAAGGGTATAAAACTAGACAAGAACTTCACATTCCTGACTACAATGACTGTTTTGTCTTCTATGTATACCTGGATAAGTCTGGGGTTCACTGTTATACCCACTGATGGAAGACTATTTCTAGACCCTGTAACTTAGAAGGTATATTTGTATAATCTGGTATACAATGGTATAAAATCCTATGGTCCTGGAATCTTATGTTATAGCAAAATCCCCTACGTATTCAACTGAGTGTCTAGAGATTCAATAGAAACAACAGTGCTAATGGGGTGCCTGGGTGCCTCAGTCAGTTGAGTGTCCGACTCTTGATTTCAGCTCAGGTTATGATACAGGGTCCTGAGATTGAGCCCTGTGTCGGGCTCTGCACTTAGCGGGGAGGAGTCTGCTGGAGATTCTCTCTCCCTCTTCCTTTGCCTTACCCCATGCTTGCACGCTCTCTCTCAAATAAATAAATACATCTTAAAAAAAAAAAAAGAAAGAACAGTGCCAATACAGCAAATTGACTAGCACTTTGTTAAACATTTAAAATTATTTTATCTAGGAAAACTATGTATTGTCTCAAAATTTAATTATTTTCAGTAATATAAACATAAATTTTGCTTAACAGTGTATATATGATGAAAAAAAAATATGTTCCAAAAAACAGAAACACCCAAACTCCAAAAAGTGAGCATCACGAATACTTGATTCTCATTCAATAGAACTCATCAATAATCAATACAATCAACCAATGCATGAATAAACAAAATTAGGTATGGACATACAATGGAATATTATTCAGCCTTAAAAAGGAAGGAAATTCTGATACCTGCTAGGACACAGACGAACCCTGAAGACATTGCACTAAACAGAACAAACCAGTCACAGAAAGATAAATACTGTATGATTTCACTAATATAAGGTACTTAGAGTAGTCAAAATCAGAGACAGAAAGTAGTATGGTGGTTGCCAGGAGTTAGGAGAACAGGGAAGCAGAAAGCTATTATTTAATGAATACAGATTTTCAGTTTGGGAAGATGACAAAAGTTCTGGAGATGGATGGTGGTGATGGTTGCATAACGGTGTGAGTGCAATAATGTCATGAATTATACACCTAAAAATGAATGAAATGGTGAATTTTATGTTATGTATATTTTATCATAATAAAGAAACTGAAGGAGAGAGAAGGGATAACTGCAGGAAAAGATAAAGGTGGTAGGTTCCATAATGTAACTGGAAGGGTCAGCTTTACATATAAACAGAGGAATTAACTTCATTGTAGAGAAGCAGATAAATGGGTAGATTTGGTGACAGGCAAATGAGGTAGTTCCTATTTAATTGTTTCTAATTTCTCTTTGAATTGGGGAGCAAGATCCCCAGCTGAGTGAATGGGAACAGAGTGGAGGGGAGGTGAGATGAAAGGAAGGGGAGGAACCAGGAGGCAAGGAGGCAAGGAGGAAGGGAGGGAGGGAGGGAGGGAGGAAGGGAGGGAGGAAAGGAGGCAAAGAAAGTTAATTTTAGAGACTAGGGAATAAAACACAGCAGGAAGGGTGGCTGGACCACCAAGAGTTAGTTTAAGTGCCTGTTTGAGATGTAATTATAAATGAAAACAGATCAGCACAGTTTTGTGTTTTTCTCTCACAAAGTTCAGGTGATTGGAAATAAGCATGGAATAAGTGGATAGTTGGTTTAACCAGGGTTGTGGTTTTGCTAAAGAAGCATGACACAGGGGAAAAGAAGTTAAAAGGAGAAGTCCCTCACAAAATATTTGTAATGGACTGGTTAAATTAATAGATCTTACAATTTAAACAGCGTAAGAAAGATACCAGTCTTTTTTTTTTGTGGGAACGGTCAATGGAATGAAAATATGATAGCTCATTTAACGGAAAGTGCACAGGAAGATAACATATGGCTAGTGTGGGAGTAGATACATGAGCTGGAATGCAGTGTGTGGTACTAAAATAGTAAGATTCTGGAAATTAAGATGTTAGAGGTGATGTAGTTACTGCTTCACAGACAAACAACAGGAAGTAAGAACTGTGGAAAACAAAACCATGGCATTGTGGAAGCACGAGTATGAGGTACAAAGAAGCTGCCTCTTGGGCGCCTGGGTGGCTCAGTTGGTTAAGCGACTGCCTTCGGCTCAGGTCATGATCCCGGAGTCCCAGGATCAAGTCCCGCATCGGGCTCCCTGCTCAGCAGGGAGTCTGCTTCTCCCTCTGACCCTCCCCCCTCTCATGTGCTCTCTCTCTCTCTCTCACTCTCTCTCTCAAATAAATAAATAAAATCTTAAAAAAAAAAAGCTGCCTCTTGTCTAAAGGAAGTGGAGCAAATGATTAAGGCATCCCATATCCATTTGGTAATTAACACCAAATCCCTTGGATTTCCCTTATTTCTGCTTATTCTTCCCATTCTGTATACGGTACATCTGACTGAAGAATATTTACTGTCAGGTCTCTTCCATATATCACAGGACCTGACAGATAACTGAGTTCAGGACATATTATTGAATAAATAATGAATGAATAAGAAAAAATCAGCGCTTAATTTGTTTCAAGGACAAACTATTGGAAGGAAATTTTCATCTTAAACCAAGTAATTTCAAAACATAAAGACTGAGATGCTAAAATTCAAAAAGTGAGTAGTCAACCCCAAACCCATAAACTAATCAGCATATGAAAAAAAAGTAAGTAGATATTAAAAAGAAATTCAATTTTACATACCTTAAAGTTTGCTCTCCTGATTCCTGCATCTTGGCTTTTTTCACCTGCAAAAATAAATACACAAAGGCATCAATATAGTGATCTGCTTTTGAAATCATCTAGCTATTCAAATGCAGGCCAATATTAATAAATTACAGGGTGACTGTTTCATTTTGTTTTGCTTAGATTTAATTAACCTTTGTTTATTTTAGAGTTAGAGATGGACTTGTTTTTCACATGAGCTCTTTTCTTTTTAATGAAAAAAGTGTTTTTCAGATTCAAGGTAAAATGTATACCAGATTTTTACTCAAGATAAAATGTTTATCAGAGGGGTGCCTCTGTGGCTCAGTTGGCTAAGTGTATGCCTTTGGCTCGGGTCATGATCCCAGGGTGTGGGGATCAAGCCACATTGGGCTCCCTGCTCAGTGGGAAGCCTGCTTGTGCTTGTGCGCACTGGCTCTCTCTGTCAAATAAATAAATAAAAATCTTTAAAAAAATGTTTATCAGAATCAAGTATCCAAACGTGGATACAAACTAGTTGGTTTTAATTTTTAACAGACACATAATTATATTATCTAACAGTAAGCACAGCAATCTCAATATCATCTACTCATTTATTAATTTATTAAACAGGAATGTCTTTATACCTAAATTATTTACATGCCAAAAATAAAGATAAATTCTTGGGGCGCCTGGGTGGCTCAGTTGGTTAAGTGACTGCCTTCGGCTCAGGTCACGATCCTGGAGTCCCAGGATCGAGTCCCGCATCGGGCTCCCTGCTCAGCAGGGAGTCTGCTTCTCCCTCTGACCTTCCTCTCTCTCATGCTCTCTACCATTCTCTCTCTCTCTCTCAATAAATAAATAAAAATCTTAAAAAAACATAAAGATAAATTCTTATCAGGTTATGAGAAATTTTTTAAAAAGATATTACTTATTTATTTTGAAAGAGAGAGAGAGGGAAGGGGGAGACGGGGTGGGCAGAGGGAGAGGGAGAGAAAAACTCAAGGGGAGTGCTCACCTCGATCCTACGACCCCTGAGCTCACGACCTGAGCCAAAACCAAGAGTCAAACACTTAACCAACTGAGCCACCCAAGAGCCCCAGGTTACAAGCAATTTAAAAAACATTGTGCATGCTATTGTTTTATTCCAGATTTTCATCTTTTCTAATTCCTTCTGAGGTGAAAGCATTTCCAATGAAACAGTTTAAGAATCCACAAACAGAATATCAACATTTAACATTACTAGTGGATTTCCCTGCTTTCCTATTACAAAGAAGCTGATTTTAGAGCTCTCTGATTAGAATAACTAGTCATAGCAGAAACATGCTTATTAGTATGCTTAGCCATACAAAATTATGGATCCTTAAAAGTATTTCAAGCTAACAAAGGCAGAAACACTGTTAAGTAATTTTAAACAAAATATCAGGTGGGAATATAGCTATTTAATATGAATAAATTTAACATCTCTGACATTGTTTGCCTTGATTCGGGTAATTATGTCCCCCTGTAAATCAGGAAGCATGTGCTACCTTGGCACTAGAGGCAGGTAAATGAACTCAAAGGATACAGAGAGACTTCACAAGTATGGGTTCAAACAAAATAATCCAGAAACTGACAATGTAAAATACTATAGCTACTTTGGAAAACAGTCTAGCAGTTCCTCAGATAAGGTAACTAGTAAGTACAGATGAATACAAGGCCCATAACATTTCTCATGGACATCTATTCCTCATGAGAAAACATGACAAAATAAATAGAACCACTCTTGGTTTCTTGCTTATGGCATACCAACATACATTATATTTAATGCTACTTTAATTTTCATAGGTACCAATAAAATCAAGAAAAGGGGGGGCATTAAAAACAAAGCCCTCAGGGTGTCTGGGTGGCATGGTCAGTTGGGTGTCCGACTCTTGGTTTTGGCTCAGGTTGTGAACTCAGGGTCATGGATCAAGTCCCTCACTGGGCTCCGTGCTCACCTCCCCTCCACTCTGCTCCTCCTGCTCACGTGCGCTCTCTCTCTCTGTCTAAAATAAATAAGTAAGGGCCGTCTGGGTGGCTCAGTCGTTAAGCGTCTGCCTTCGGCTCAGGTCATGGTCCCAGGGTCCTGGGATTGAGCCCCGCATCGGGTTCTCTGCTCAGCGGGAAGTCTGCTTCTCCCTCTCCCGCTCCCCCTGCTTGTGTTCCCTCTCTCGCTGTGTCTCTCTCTCTATCAAATAAATAAATAAAATCTTTAAAATAAAATAAATAAATAAATCTTAAAAAAGAAACCCTCTAAGAATAACAGGCATAGTGCAGGGCATATAGTCAATCACACTGCCAATAGCATTGTGTGGTGACAGACGGCAGCCACACTTATGAGCACAGCACAACACAGGGACTAGCTGAATCACCGTGTTCATCTGAAACTAATATATAACATGGTGTGTCGACCATACTCAAAAAAAATTTTTTTAATCCTCTAAATTTAAAAATAAAATTACAAAAGCATATAAAGAAAAACAAAAACAAATAAGAACCCTTGAGGCAGATAAATTCTCACTAAGCATATTAAATTCCAAAGCCATAAAATAAAAAATAGATTTGATTATACAAAAATTCAAAACTTCTCTATGATAAAAGATACCATAAACCAACCAGGAGATCAAGGAATCCTAGGATGATACACAGACTTTGACAAAAGCATTTAACTTATTATAACTGTATGATATAACCCCACTGAAAGGGGTGGGAGATAAAAGAGCTACTTAAGAAAATAATGGACATTTTGACTGGAAATTGCAAAGTTAGACATAAGAAAAATTCAACTATCTAGTTTACCTGCCTGCCATAATTTCACAAATGACAAAATATATGCTTTTGTTATAAAATGTGCTGTCCTTCCCACCTAAAGATGATAGTATTTACATTAGGTCAGATGATAATGTAATTTTCCAATAGTGGAGATGAATTTATGTTTAGTTCACCCTAAGACTTTCTTTATGATCATGTATTCGTGACCTGGTAACCAAAATAGTCTACAGTTTCCAGTCATGCATACAAAGAAAACTGGAGCACTGAGGAATCTAACTTATCATAATCTTAATTTTATTAGAATCACAGAATAACAAATTTAGCTAAGAAATTCCAAAAAAAAGAAAAGGGCACTGGAGCAAAAATTTTAAATATACCATAGGGCCTTTCTTTTTTTTTCTTAAAGATTTTATTTATTTATTTGAGAGAGAGAGCATGAGTGGGAGGGGGGCAGAGGGAGAAGTAGACTCCCCACTGAGCAGGGAAGCCCAATGTGGGGCTCAATCCCAGGATCCCAGGATCATGACCGGAGCTGAAGGCAACCATGTAACTGACTGAGCCACCCAGGCACCCACACCATAGGGCCTTTCAAATTTTATTTCACTTTTTATTACAGTGCCAGCCCAGTACAAAGAATAAGTAATACAAGAAATGGAGAAAATGTACCTAAAATTGTATCTACCAAACAAAAAGTTTGGGGGAAGAAAATGTGTTATCACAGCTGATTTTTTACCTTTCATGGCCCATTATTTGCCTTGACTTGGGCAATTATTCTCTCCTATAAATCAAGGATAGAAAGCATGCACTGCCTTGATACTCCAGGCAGGTAAACTAACTTAAAAGGATACAGACAGATTTCACTGGATTACAGAAGTATGGGTTGAAACAATACAATCCAGAAACCAACAGAATGTAAAATAGTGTAGCTACCTTGGAAAACAGTTTAGTAGTTCCTCAAAAGGTTAAATATAAAGTTACTATATAACCCAGTAATTTGACTCCTATCTATATAACCAAGAGAAATGAAAATGTATGTCCATGGATGTTCATAACAGCATTATTCAAAATACTCAAAAAGTGAAAACAACCCCAATGCTCATGAATGAACAGATAAATGGATAAATAAAATGATAAACTAATGATGAATGATAAATTAAAAAATCCATACAATATTATTCAGCAATGAAAGGGAATGAAGTACTGATACATGCTATAATGTAAATGAACTATGAAAAGATTATGCTAAGTGGAAGAAGTCAGTCACAAAGAATCACAAATTGTATGATTCCATTTACATGAAATGTCCACAAATCAGTACATTTTTAGACAGAAATTAGATTAGTAGTTGCTTAGGGCTGCAGGGGATGGGGGGATTTGGGGGGTGACTGCTAATGGGAATGGAGTTTCCTTTTGGAATGCTGAAAATGTTTTAAAACTGATTCTGGTGATAGTTGAAAAACACTGTGAATATACTAAAAACCACTGAATTGCATACTTTAAAATGAATATGTGAATTGTATCTCAAACCTGTTATTTTAAAAAATGACATAATCTTATGGGCATGTTATGACTAAAGATAACACAAAAAGAAGAACCACTGACAAATTCGTGAATCAGGGTTCTATTTGTGCCTCTGCTTAAAAAAAAAAAATGCTTTAAACATAACAGAGCAAGGGAATACTAGTAACACAGTACATGAATTCAGAATATCCATGTTCTGTGGATCACTCTGTGATTTTTCAGATGATCAATGCTGGCTTTGCACTGATGTCTGAGAAAGTTTTAGGTTTATGGGATAAAACCGCTGTAAGTCTGGAGGAACAGAACTCATTTGAAATAACTCAGGTCCTTGCTTATACATATGGAAATAAAAAATATTTTTAAGGTATGCTATTCTTTACAGTTTATCCTCCTTCATAAAGAAGACAACATCAGGGGTTGAGTCAAGATGTTCTCTCTTCACCACCTGTTCCCCCTCGTTCTTCTCCTTACCCTCGAAGCCCCAAACACAATTTTTTATTTTTTTATTGTTATGTTAATCACCATACATTACATCATTAGTTTTTGATGTAGTGTTCCATGATTCATTGTTTGTGCATAACACCCAGTGCTCCACACAGAATGTGCCCTCTTTAATACCCATCACCAGGCTAACCCATCCCCCCACCCCCCTCCCCTCCAGAACCCTCAGTTTGTCAGAGTCCATCATCTCTCATGGTTCGTCTCCCCCTCCGACTTACTCCCCCTCATTCTTCCCCTCCTGCTAACTTCTTCTTCTTTTTTTTTTTTTAACATATATTGCATTATTTGTTTCAGAGGTACAGGTCTGTGATTCAACAGTCTTGCACAATTCACAGCGCTCACCATAGCACATACCCTCCCCAATGTCTATCACCCAGCCACCCCTTCCCTCCCACCCCCCACCACTCCAGCAACCCTCAGTTCCAAACACAATTTTTTAAGTCCTTTTTATTGTTCTCAAAAATGTTTCCCATGCTTCGCTCTTTTCTATGTTTTATAGCCTAGAGAGTACACTATGGTTATAAGCATCTGCCACCTCTGTTGTCTATAGTATTAGGAATTTCTTTTAAAAATTTAAACACAAGGTACCTGGGTGGCTCAGTCTGTTAAGCATCTGCCTTCGGCTCAAGTCATGATCCCAGGGTCCTGGGATGGAGCCCCACATCAGGCTCCCAGCTCAGCGGGGAGCCTGCTTCTCCCTCTCCTCCCTGATCGTGTTCTTTCTTACTATCTCTGTCTCTCTCTCAAATAAATAAATAAAATCTTTAAAAAATAATAAAATAAAAATTTAAAATAAAAATTTAAACACAAAAGCCATGCTCATATTTAAAAAAATCCCATTCAGGTATGTATAAAATAGAAAAGATCTTATTCTGACCCATCACCTCCATGAAATAATCAATATTAAGTTTGCTGTATATTCTTCTAAAAATTTTTCCTATGATGTGTATCCTTTAAAAACTTGAATTTGGAAAGCACCCCTGACAGCCACAAAGGAGTTTTTAAAGTGCTTCCAGCTTGCCAGGGATAGTCTTGGTTTATACCTCTTATCCCAAAACCAAGTCTGGTTAGTGTTCCCTTTTACTCTTCAAGAGTATTGTCCAGTTTGGACAATAATACAACTGCTTCAGTGTATCTGAAAAAGATGAAGACTGGGCTGCAGGAGGGGGGTGGGGAGGAGACTGAGTAATTTCAAGGTACCTGGTGACCATAGAGTGAATCATTTCTGATTGAAGACTGATTGGCAATAAGGGAGAGTGAAAGAGAGAACCCCCAGCTAGGATTTATGTTGCATTGTGAACAATGACCTGAACAAAGCTTAAGATGAAGCAAGTTAAGTAGTAAAGAAACATGAAAGGGATAATTCAGTAGGAAAGAGACAAGAAGAGATAATAAGAATAACATAACTCCAGGTAATAATGCCTACCAGTAACATCTCTCTATGTTTACAGGTAACGGTAGGGTTAAAACTCTTGGTTTTATTTATTATCATCAATTTGGGATAGAACCATTCTTTCTACTCAAATTTTAGATCTCTACTACAGCCTGTGAAGACTTTTCTCCTCAAAGTACAATATTTACTCTTCCTATTCTAATTATTTTTAACAGTTCATAAATATTCCGTGTTTTCTTAGATTCTGTATTTGTCTATTTGGCATCCACTAATCATAGGGACAAACTATGGACCAAAGCTATGTACATCTCCCTTGTGATCTAGAGCCCATACTCTGATGCATCTCCTTTATCCAACTTACATACCAAGTCAGTATTTCCCCTGCTCTAATCACCCCACCCAGAGCTAGACACCAGATACCCAGTGAGAGCCACAATACCCCAAAAGCCCTCGGAATTATTCAAACAAACTAAACTTAAATCATTTACCTTGCTTTGCCTGTGGAAACCCTAATAAAGGCTGTGGCCTCTGCATTCCCCTCGCTCCTTTCTGCCTCCTAACTGACATTGGTGCTTCCCCCATGGCCCTGTGTGGTGTGCCATGCCTTTCATTTCTAAGGACTGTGAGTAACATTAAACTTTTCTTTCAATGGCATTGACCTCCCCATGTTGTCACTCAGTTACCTTTATAAATTAAGACTTAGGCACAAATCAAAGTAAATGATACCCTATGACAATTACCATTTACAGTCAGCAGAAAATTTGTTTTTAAAATGCTTTAATTTCGGGGCGCCTGGGTGGCTCAGATGGTTAAGTCTCTGCCTTCGGCTCGGGTCATGATCCCAGGGTCCTGGGATCGAGTCCCACATCGGGCTCCTTGCTCAGCGGAGAGCCTGCTTCTTCCTCTCCCTCTGCACCTCCCCCTGCTCATGGTCTGTATCTCTCTGTCTCAAATGAATAAATAAAAAAAAGTTAAAAAAAATTCAATAAAGTTTCAAAAAAAATAAATAAAATGCTTTAATTTCTCACCTTCTTAAGTAACAATAAAGTTTTGCACATCATGTTACAGAAATTGAACACCAGCAAGGAAATGAAGCAGACCAGAAAAGATTACTCACCAGCAGGTCAGCCTCACAATTCTCATTACATTCAATAAATAAGGAGTAACTAACAATACCCATTTCAATAGTGTATCAGCACGTAAGTCTTGAAACTAGACCTCCTGACTACACCTCTGTCTTGCTACATTAAAAATTCAATGACGTAATTTTCTTTGGCACATTTAATGTCGCTAATTCAGCTATTTATTTTCATAGTACATATCCTAGGAACACCGCTGGGATGATTTTTAGTTCTACCATTTCCCTGATTATTGCTGCCCCATCATGGATAAGGGATGACATTTCATATGTTTCAAGGTCATTTTACCAATTGGTTATGTCTTTCTAGTTTTGTTGTTTTATTTTTTAAGATTTTATTTATTTGACAGAGAGAGACACAGCGAGAGAGGGAACACAAGCAGGGGGAGTGGGAGAGGGAGAAGCAGGGTTCCCGCTGAGCAAGGAGGCCGATGCGGGGCTCGATTCCAGGACCCTGAGATCATGACCTCAGCCGAAGGCAGATGCTTAACGACTGAGCCACCCAGGCGCCCCTCTAGTTTTATACTTACCTTAAGTGAGAGGGCTAAAAGAATAATGGCAAAGTAATCATTAGTATGTACCTCTCAACATAAAAACAAATATTAAAAATGTATTAAAGGTCTTCAGGCAAGCAATGTCCATCCTTCTGTGATGTAAGGAATACATCTGGAACATGAAAAACATACCCTATTATCTGCTTGCAAAACTCAAGTTTTTCTAAGTTGGATTTTCATAAAGGTAAATATATATCATTGTACATTCTCTCTTAATATGAAACACAAGAGGCTCATTCAGGACAGTAAACTGCCTCAGAATTTATCTAACTTCAGAAAAAGAAATAACACAAAAGGAAAAGATTCTTTAATATAAAAGTATCTTGAAAGAATGATTACTATTGCTTTCCTATTTTATTTTATTTATTTATTTTTTAAGTAAGCACCATGCCCAGTGTGGGGCTTGAACTCACAAACCAGAGATCAAGAGTCGGATGCTCTACTGACTGAGCCAGCCAGGAACCCCTGCTTTCCTTTTTTAAATGTTAAGAGTCAAAATACAGAAAGAGCAAAACAAACAAAAGGCCATGGTAAAGGCAATAAATCTATATCACCTGGGGACATTTAGAATTATTTTATTTATTTATATTAAATATTTAAAAGAAATTAAGAATCTAACCTAGACTCTAGGATCTTATCTGTTTTTAACAATTAGGTAGTGGTTAACTATTACTTTTTTAAAAACTTAAGTCAATCAGAGAAATTTAGGTAAAGATTAAGTTTTCTGGCAAAATGGTATATACTGTTTTACTGGTAAATAGATGTCCCCTTTTATTTTCTAAAAACTGTAAGAATAGCCATTGGTGTTTTTTTCTTTTTTAATGACATTTCCAAATACAATATGTACTTTGTAATACTGAATTTTCTAAGCAGACACCCTAGAATTAATTTAACAAAATGTGAATTTAAGAACACTGTTTTCTTAGAAGGAAAGTATTAGGAAGTCTTTTTCTTATTTTTATTCTAATTTGGAATCTGTAGTATAACTGAGTAATATTTAAAATCTTTTACAATCAGCTTTTCTATAAAAAACTTTAAATTGTTAAAGGAGACACTTACTGGTTGTTCTGGTAAGTCTTGCTCTTCTTCCATGAGGACCAGTATTCCTTCCTAACGTTTATGTGGCTGGATTGCGAGCGTCTGTCAGCAGTCTTCACTGTCTGTTTATAAAGGGGGGGGGGCGGAGATTCAAAGCTTTATGAATTCTTAAAGCATTATCATTGAGGCCATCGGAGAATAATTTTTTTTAACTTTTTGTTACTCCAAGCTTTCTACGTGAGTCCCAATCTCAAAATCTCAAACCCGCACGTGGCTTTTCAAAATTGACATGCTGCACCAAGTCAAGATAGGTGTACACAATGACCTTTATACTACCTCGCAAAAGCCAACACGTGGAACCCCTTCTGCTGTACTTAAAACACGGTTACTATAGTGCCTAATGCACTAAACATTTTATAATGACAGCCATGTGCAGATAACTAAAACATGATTTTAGGATTATTGTTACATTAAAAAATGATAAAAACCAGCCTAGCAAGTAAGTTATGATAACATCTAACCTGCTTGAATGTGGAACATTTACATAACTGCTAACACAGACACACGGAATCACTTTAAATGGGACAAACTGGAATATCAATTAAATACTTTCACAACCAACTATCTGTATATATGTAATTAAAGGAAAATTCTGGATTTATTTTAATAATACAAATAAATAAGTAAAGCAAAACCCTGAATTTTAAAATTAAGAAAAAATCATGTAAAGCTAAGACCCAATTTTATTCTGAAATAACAAGCTCCACTAAATATACTATACCTGGTCAATTTTTTTTTTTCATTTGAGAGAGAGAGAGAACGTACACACGGGGGGAGGAGCAGAAGGAGGAGGAGAAGTAGACTCCCTACTGAGCAGGGAGACTGATGCAGGGCTTGATCCCAGGACCCTGAGATCATGACCTGAGCCAAAGGCAGATGCTTTAACGACTGAGCCACCCAGGCACCCCACTACCTAGTCAATTTTTAAGCAAACTCTTTACCTTCTCAGACCCTGCTATTCCTGTCCTGGTTTTTAAACTAAAAAAGAAAAATAGAGGACTCAAAGCCCCACATTTACTAGTATGAGCATCTTACTGTAGCCTGCTGGCAAGAAAGAGACAGGTAGGTATTAGTAAACTAAATACATTATAAAAACAAAAATTCCATATCTATTTAACACAAATGAAACTGACACTTCTCCAAAACAGATGTGATCATTTATGATTTTAATGAAGGTCACGCCTGTCTTTACTTCTACCAACCACTGTAACTAAACATATAAAGCTAAATCAAGTATAGAACTTTATTGCTGAAGTAATGAAAAGAGATAAAAAAAATGGAAAGGGAAATGAAAAACTTCAGTTGTGCCAATACCACCCCTCCCCTTCTATTCTCTATATCGATGCAATAGAACACACTTTATTTTACAGCCACACTCCAGAATGGGAAAAAGAGGGAACACACATGTGATTAGATGCAAACCTGTCCAACTCTACCATGGCTTTACTCCCTTCCCTGACCTAGATGTCAAAAGAAAAAAAGTTAAAAGGTCAGAAGCACTTGGTGATCAATACTCACGTGTAGCTCAAACTGAGCCTCAAAAGCCAAGTTCTCCAACTACATGACGCAGGTAATTGGTGCTGCAGAATTACAGGGTGCAGTAACTAAAGCCCACAGGAGCTATCTTGCCTGAACTTGTTTTGCTCTCCTCAGAAGAGCATAATCAATGTGACGTGAAACGGATTCACAATTGTGAAAAATGAAACATTTTTATGTTTTACCAGCTTATATCTATCTTAGATTTAAATTGAAATTCTTTATTTTATAGGCTTTTAATACTGTCTAAATGTACAAATATAATTTCATCCCCAAAGGAGGAGGAAAATAGGGCCAAATCACGAGGGAAGTGTAATGCCTTTAATATCTCATTTGTTGGATTTTTGTGAGACCATCTCTCACCTAAACAAAAAGTTATAATATTCCATGTTTTATTTAATTGAAGGCCATACGTAATAATTGCAATCTCTAATTAGTAGATCCTCAGCACAGGAGAGGGAAGGGATATTCCTTCTCATGGGGGAAGGATTATAAAATCTACCTCTGGGCAAGAAGAAGGTTAAGAAAAATTGTTTTAAAAAAAGGATACTCAATAACATGTGCTTTAATTTTAAACACAAGAACTAATTTAAAAAATATAAACATTAAAGGAGAATATTTTTTTTATTGATCAAAAGGGATCAAGGGTTTTACAAGGTAAAAAATACTACTCTTAATTGTGGGGAAATAAATTCTCAAGTCATACAAAACTAAATGTTAAAATCTTGAATTTTAGGGGCGCCTGGGTGGCTCAGTAGTTAACCGTCTGCCTTCGGCTCAGGTCATGATCCCAGAGTCCTGGGATGGAGCCCCACATTGGGCTCCCTGCTCAGCCGGAAGCCTGCTTCTCCCTCTCCCACTCCCCCTGCTTGTGTTCCCTCTCTCGCTGTGTCTCTCTCTGTCAAAAAAATAAATAAAATCTAAAAAAAATAAAAAATAAAAAATAAAAATAAAAATAAATAAAATAAAATCTTGAATTTATTTTAGAAATATGGCAATATAATAGTGATTTTATAATGAAAAGGAAAGAATTTTCTATTTTTCTTAAGACACATTCTATGGTAAGTTGCAAGAAAACTTTAGGGGAAAAATTGGAAGATATTCTTTCTACCTATATTTCTTCTTTGAAAATAAGCAATGTTGTTTCCATCTTAAAAATCACCTTTATTTTCTCAGCTTTTCAATTTAGGAATAAAAGCATAATTTCTATAGTTAGGAAAAAACTTTAAAAATCAAGTAACTGATCAATGATCACCAATAATTTTGATCATTTAAAACAAAAGCAGGGAGGGACATCTGGGTAGCTCAGTCGGTTAAGTGTCTGCCTTTGTTTTGGGTCATGATCCCGGGGTCCTGGGATGGAGCCAGCATTGGTTCTCTGCTCAGTGGGGAGCCTGCTTCTCCCTCTCCCTCTGTCTACTGCTCTATTTGTGCTCCCTCTCTGTCAAATAAATAAATAAAATCTTAAAAAAAAATAAAAAATAAAACAAACAAAAGCAATCTTACAAGGAAAGCACATGATTTATTACAGCATCTTCTGGGGTTCTACTGGCAACATGTAAAACGCATAAAGTTGCAAACATACATTCTGGTACATTTGTGTATATAATATGTTATTGACTATAAATTATGTATTTCCATCAGAACATGCATCTAAGTACACTACTTTGTATCAATACAGTAGTTTTCCTTCCTTCCAATAATTTATAATTTGAATAACCTGAAATATAAGGACTTATTAAATACAAGAATGCAAGTATTTGTCACATTCCTAGAACTTCTCAATGTGCTAAAACTTTAATATTAAGATCTCACACCATTTTCTGTAAGTGACACATGCTTACAATCAAGTCACATTTACTAGCAACCAGACGGAAGTGCTGTATAACACACAGTGCTCTAGTACTTGATAACTTAAAAAGTACAGAATTACTATACAAATCTTAGTATTCTCATTCCATGTACTAGTTCTAGAATTTAATCTAATTGTGGGTTTTGTAAACCATTAATGTAATCTGACATTATTGTATACTAAATGAAGTTCATCTTCTTAAAATATCCAAAAATACAATGACTTGACATAGAAGTGGAAAGTGGATTCTTAATGCAACTTAAATACAGTTACTTATAACTTAGTCAAACAGCCAGTGAAGTTACAAAACATGCTGAGTTAATCTTTTAAGTACCTTTAAACATTTGGATAATAATGTCTTCTCACAATTTTCTAGTTTCAATTCTTACTGTTGATTTCTAAATACACCTTTTAAATCATGAGAGTTTGTCAGTATCTAGATGCTTTTATGGACAGAAATCTAGGCAAATCTACAACTAAGAACAGAAATAGTATTACTTCTGAAGACTTTCCCTATCTGCAAATGCTAACAGTGAAAAAATAAGGACTTTTGTTTCGATTCGAAAAGGTCAATTTTAAATACTGTGATTTCACATGTTCATAAATAAAGTAGGATACTTTTGTAATATGGCAGCCATAATTTTTCTTTTTAATCGTCAAGTATTAGAAGGGAAATAATTAGTAAATATTTTACTTCAAAACTCTAATTAGATTCCTACCTCCTAATTTCTGTTTTGTACCAAGTTGAACATAGTATTCACCCTATAACTGTAAATGGCTACAAGCAAAAACCTAGGTAACTGCAATGTTATTATAGCTCTTACGTATAGGAAGGGGGAAAATATATATATATTCTCCACACACACACACACACACACACACACACACACACACGTATAAAGAAGAGAATACAAATCAAATTGCTTTCAATGAAAATAAAGTATACACTACTCTTAATTATAACATCAAGAGAAGTGTCTAAATAGAGCACAACATTCTGATTATAGGTCCTGGAAGGGGAACTTGCATGTGGCTAAGTGTGCACAGATTAAATGAATATCTTTGATACAGTCCTAAAGAGAAAACATGTAGCTCATAAATTTAATCACTGACCACACTGTATTTTAGAAGTCTACTTAATATTTCTTCCTATTTAGAACATGCTAAATAAAAGGCTACAGAAGTTTCCCTGGGGAAAATTAACAGCATCTTTCCCAAAATTAAATATATCTCAGCAATAATAGTTATAAACAACAGTAATCTAAAGAAGTATCAAAAAAGTGGTATGTCATCACTTAAGATTATTAACATGTGGATTACTTTAGGATTTAAAAGTACATAATTAGCAAATGTCTACCATGGTATCCTCAAATATAATTATACGTATGCCTTGAAGAATGAAAACAATAAGTAAACTACCGTCTTTTAATGGCTTTAAGATGACTGCTTCAAGTACTGTTATTCAACAATATCTATTCTAAAGGAGATCCATAAATGAATTCAGAAACTAGTGCCCTAACACCCAAAGTGCCAAACATAAAACCTAAAGATCTCTCTTAAAAATAAACTCTAATTTAAAAACTTAAGAGGCCTTATAACGCAGAATCAGAAAAGGTGTCAGGAAAAATGGTTTCAAAATGTAAAAAGACATTTCTGTGGTTTCCTGCAGAACAC